GGAGCCCGATGCGGGGCTCGATCCCAGGACCCCAGGATCATGACCTGAGCGGAAGGCAGACGCTTAACCGACTGAGCCACCCAGGTGCCCCTAGAATCTATACTCTTAACCACTGGGCTTCCTTGGGGGGCCTATGTGTGCGGCAAATATATCAGAATCTGGGAACACGGACCCAGACCTGGGAAATCCATTCTCTTTTAGCCTGAGGCTGGGGTACTGGCTCCGTTGGACCCAGACCCATTTACATCCTGAGATGCTGAGCAGTGTCAGGCCCCCTCCCCCATCCCCCAGGGCATTTCCCTGGTCACATGGGAGGAGACAATGAAGCTGAAGTTTAAGGACAATGGGGCTTCTCAGTTACTAAGGCCACTTCTGGGCAGGGCTCCTGCATTCCCCAGGGTGAGAGAGGGAGCTACCACTTCCTGGTGAGCTCGAGGGAGCTGGAGGACCCGGGAGCCGAAACTTCTGCTCAGATCTTCCGGGCTCTGGGTCTGGTTTGGCTAAAAAACTTACCCATGTTAAGGGACACTGGTTGCCCCTCCTCCAGGGGGCTGCATTTGAAAAGAGGAACCTGATGGGCAATTTGTAACCCAAAGGACTCAAGTGCCTCCTCTGGGTGGCCCTCCTTGATTGCCCCACTCATGTCAGCTCCATTTTTACTGAATATTTTCATCCATCTATATCCATCCATCCATCCATCCATCCATCCACCCATCCATGTATTTATTCACTCAGCAAGCACATTCTATATTGCTAGGTGCTGAGATGAATAGTATGACAGAGCTCCATCCCTCAGATCTTGCTCCCACACCACCATTTCTGTGTGTATCTCCCTCTGACTCCATGTTCTGCAGCCACACTGGCCTCAGGCACATTCCCACCACAGGGCCTTTGCACACGCTGCTCCCAGCAATGCTTTCCCCCAGGCATTTCGTGCATTTTGCATCTTTGTCATCTGTACGTATCACATCCTCAGCTGCCATCCCTGAGCACCCTGTCTAAAGTGTCCCCTCTGCAGCCCTCCTGCTTTGATTTATCACTGTTTCCTCCCCATTTTACTCCCTTAATAGTTATTGATCTCTGAAATGACCTTGCTGATATTTTTTTTTAAAGATTTTGTTTATTTGAGAGAGAATGAGAGGGAACACAAGTGGGGAGGAGGGGCAGAGGGAAAGAGAGGAGACCCCCCGCTGAACACAGAGCCCGATGCGGGGCTTGATCCCAGGACCCTGGGGTCATGACCTGAGCCGAAGGCAGTCGCTCAACCAACTGAGCCACCCAGGCGCCCCCACATTATTTTTAAATGTGCTTTTAGTAGCTCCAAACATATGGGAAGAGGCTGATTATCTTTTATTATTGATTTCTATTTTGACTACATTATGATCAGAAAATATGTTCTGCTTGATATGTATTCTTTGGTATTAACATTTGCTTTATGGCCTAATTTTTGCAGATATATGTCCTTGAAAAAAATGTGGATTCTCTAATAATTTCATGTAATGTTCAAATCAAGCTGGTTAATTGTGTGACTCAGATTTTCTATACCCTTACCAAAATTCTACTCCCCCCGCCTGCCCGCCCCCAGTCTCTCAACTACTAAAAAAAGATATGATAAAATCTCCTAATATGATGTGGTTTATCATTTTTTCCTTACAGTTCTGTTAGTTTTTTTCTTTATATACTGGAAGGCTGTGCTATTAAATGCATATTAGTAGCTGTTTTTTTTTTTTTTCTTTTTCTGGTGAATTTTCCTTTTATTATGATATAATGACTTTCCTTATCCCTTTTAATGCCTTTGCCTTAAGTATGTCTTGCCTGATATCAACGAGCTGTCCGTTTTCCTGCTTGCTTCAGCAGCACATATCCTAAAATAAGCAGTTCATCTTAATTTTGGTCAGTATTTCTTGATATACCTTTATTATTTCCTGATGGTCAAACTTTCTACATCATTACAGTTTAGGCGTAACTCTTGTACACATGAGATGACAGAATTTTGTTCCTTCGTCCAATCTAAATGTCTCTGTTTTTAAAGATCAGTTAAAGCCATTTAAACATTTTTGTAATTACCCATATATTTTGTGATTTTTGTCTGCTTCTTTATATTTCCTTTCCTGACTTATACTGGTTCGACCAAAATCTCTTTAGTTCTGTTACAACCCTACTATAATTTACAAGTTATAAATTCTATATCCATTATTTTAGTGGTTACACCTAAACTTAAACCTTGTAGTAGAAAGTCCAAAATACTCAACATTTCTATTCTCCTGCAACTCAATGCAAGAACCTTTCAACACTTATTCTAATTCCTCTTCTTGTAGTACATATAATTGTTCCCTAGTATCTTACTCCATCTTGTTTATGTGGAATTATTATATTATTTTAAAACTCAGTATCTTGTTAATTTTTTCTACATATAAACAAGTTATTTGTCTGTTCATTGCTTCCTGTATATTGCTTATCTTTAATTCAATTTGTTTTATCCTGAAGGAAATCCCTTAGTTTTTTTTCCAGTAAGTTTTCATGCATGATAAACTCTCTCAATATTTTCCGGAAATGAGAATACTCATGGGAGGGTCCTACTACCAAACCTTGACGTATGAGTTGCTGTAAACACTTCATCAATAGTTCAAGATGTAACCTGTATATAAACAGGTGTTATACTTAGTCCGGATGGGAAATCGGTTGTAATCTCATCTGATTTTCCAGAATCATCTCTGTAACATTCCTGTAATGTCACCCTTTCAATACTTCCAGAGGAATCATACCCATGGAACCAAGGAACCAAACCAGTGCATCTGAATTCATCCTCCTGGGACTTTCAGAAAATCCAGAGCAGGAGACCCTCCTCTTTGCTCTGTTTCTCTGCATGTATGTGGTCACAGTAGTGGGGAACCTGCTCATCATCCTGGCCATCAGCTCAGATTCACACCTCCACACCCCCATGTACTTCTTCCTGGCTAATCTCTCGTTGGTTGATTTCTGTCTAGCCACCAACACTGTCCCCAAGATGTTGGTGAACATCCAAATCAAGAGCAAGTCAATCTCTTATCCCTGCTGCCTGACCCAGATGTATTTTTTCCATTTCTTTGGCATTATGGACAGTGTTTTAATTGCTGTGATGGCTTATGACAGGTTTGTGGCTATATGTCACCCCTTACACTACACCACCATCATGAGCCCACGCCTCTGTGGCCTGCTGGCTGGTGGCCCATGGGTGTTTTCCTACTTTATTTCCCTCACTCATATCCTCTTGATGGTGCGCCTGGTTTTCTGTGGGAACAATAAGATTCCTCACTACTTCTGTGACCTCACTCCTCTTCTCAGGCTTTCTTGCAATGACGCCTCTGTGAACAAGATCTTCGTGCTCATCGTGGCTGGGATGGTGATAGCCACGCCTTTCATCTGCATCCTGGCCTCCTATGCTCGCATCATTGTGGCCATCATGAAGGTCCCCTCTGCAGGGGGCAGGAAGAAAGCCTTTTCCACCTGCAGCTCCCATCTGTCTGTGGTTGCTCTCTTCTATGGGAACACGATTGGGGTCTATTTGTGTCCTTCCTCTGTGTGCACAGCTGTGAAGGAGAAAGCCTCTGCTGTGATGTACACTGTGGTCACCCCCATGCTGAACCCCTTTATCTATAGCCTGAGGAACAGAGATCTGAAGGGGGCCCTGAGGAAGCTTGTCAACAGAAAAATTACTTCATCTTCCTGACCATAAGGACACCTGGAAACTTCCAGGAAGTAAGATCTCAACATCTAAGGTCATGGGCAAAAGAATGGAGTTGCATGGTTTTAGAGAGTAGCCACTTCGGATTTTGAGTTGCAGAAGTTTAAAAGGAAATCTCAAGATGGCCCTGTTACTATTTTCTCAATTACTGAGACCAGTAGGAGTCCTTTTGGGTATGTCTGATGCTGTCTTCCCAGAAAGATCAGTCTAGCCCTATTAGATTGGATTTATCCTGGTTCAAAATCTGGTTAGCTCTCAACAAATTTTTATGGAGTTTATATTCCGGGCTTGCTGTAAGCTCTAGCCATGGAGTGGTGAGCAAGAGATGCAAGGTCCCTATTGTGTAGAGTTTATAGTGGAATGTGGGAGAAGATACTAATTGTAATGGAATGAAATATGCACATGAGGGCAAGGGTAGGATAGAGTAAGAACACCCTACAGAATCTGGAAGGGGGAATCAGGGAAGGTTTCCTGGGAGAGATGATCCTAAACCTCAAAGGATAAGATGATGTTTTTCAGACAAATATGAGGGAAAGAATATCAGAAAAAGAAGAAAAAAACCCAGTATGTGAAAAGGTCAGAGAGCAAGAGAAAATGAGAGAAGGATGCATTTGTGAAGTGAAAAATCCAGTTATGGTGAATGCCTTGGGGAATGCCAGGTCAAGAAGGACTTTGGGACCAACTCAAGAGTTTGGCTTTTTCCTGAGAACCAGAGAGTTCTTTCACTTCCAGGGACCAAAGTCAGGGAGCATATAGGTAAGTCATGTCCCCCCTTCTACCCTCATTCCTATTCTGTCTTCTGGGGGAGCAGGATGGCATGTACTAGATAAAATTTGTACAAGGCACAGGGGAGAAAGAAATTGAGACCATGCACTAAGAAAATAAGGAAATAAGGAAAAATAAGAAAAACCGTTTGACTTGGTATAAGTCTTTGTAGCCAAAGAGGAAAATACCAATCAGTTGAATCTTGAATGTTTAAGCCAGAAGGAAGCCGAGGCATGTCTCTGCCGCCATATATGCGTGTGGATTGCATGAGTAGTAACACTGCTCACAACAGAAATGGGAGTTATTTGTTGCAGGTTTTCCTAGGGTCTCCTCACCATGTTCCATTACACGGTCTCATTCCCTCATTCTCTAGCCCCTATGAAAGCAATGTATTGTGGAGTCATTCTAATGTTCATACGGAGATTCACAATCCAAATGGAACGAGCAGTGAGTTTGGGCTCTATTTCCGGGCTGAATGAGCAGTGAACAGGACCAGAAGTTTTCAAATGGTGCTAAGGAGCTGACATCATCTTAAACAGAATGGCTTTGAATAATTTGTACTTCTAGTTTGCTTATGTTACTTTCCTTCCAAGAGAATTAAATGAGACTTTCTCAGTTGAACAAACAGACCTCTGGACTTGGCCCTGTTGTAGGCTGGAAAGAAGATGCTTTCTGGGGATACTCTGGTGAATAAAACCCAGAACTTAAGAATAGTGGAGTTTGCTGTAGGGAACCCATCATCTGGTCAGGGCTTTTTCAGAACAACCAAAAATCAGCTGATAGCTGAACCACACCTCTTTCTCCTAGTAGGTCCTCCTGCCATATGCACGCGAGTAGTTACAGTGATAGTTGGGAGAGGGGATGCAATGTGATGCCTGGCGCCAATAAAATTCTCTTAAGATTCTGTCAGCCAAACTATCTCTGTCTTGTTTTGTGTTTAAAAAAGTTAAGGCCTCATCTCCAGGAGAGATTTGTCCTGGTAGCCCTTACAGTATCAACTTCCAACATTTGCTGACATCGGTATATGTTTAATTAATTAATTCAACAAATATTTACCAAGTTTCCTTTATGCCAGCTAATATTCTAAGCACTGGCAATGGAGGGGTGAGCAAGAGCGAAAAAATAAAAAATAAAAAGCCCTTTCCTATGACTAAAAGGTTTAGTACCAAGGAGTTTTTTGGGGAGTGGAACTGTTCTGTATCCTGATATCAGAGCAATGACTTTGAAGGTACTAAAAAATTTAAATGCTCTGTCTCCCCAGATCCCACAAATCTATACATGTGATAAAATTCCAAGGACTGTAAACCAGAAAAAAAAGTTAATCTTACTGATATTAATTTTTTCAAAAATAAAATTAAACACTAGATAATAAAGCAACCATTCCCATTTCAGCAGGGAAAACAATAAACAAAGAAATAATCACTATGTCAGATAATTACCAATGGTAAGAAGGACTTCAAAGGTATAATGGAGAATATGTGACAGAGACAGATGGAGGGAGGTATTTTAATTGGGCATTTCTGAGAGCAACTGGTCTCTGGTAAGATGACTTCTGAGCTGAGACCTGAATCAGGCCAAGAAAGGAGTATTCCTAGGAAGGAGGTGGGAACGGAATGTCAGAAGAAGGGAACTGGACATGCAAAGTCAAGAACAAGTCAGTAGTTAAGTGTTAAGGAGTTGTCCATGTTTTTAAAATATATTTAGATTAGTGTAAACAATTTAGATTTGCAGGAACAAAATCCTGCAAACGTTATAAGCCCAACATAGAATTTGGCTTAAAACAACCAACAGTTATTATTTCATGGTTTCTGTGGGTCAGGAAACTGGGAGAGGCTTCGCTCTGTGACTTGGCTCAGAGTCTCTGATAGGGCGGCAGTCACAAGTCTGGGGGCACTGTGGTCGGGCCCTATCCTGACTGGAGCAGGGGGTCTGGTTCCACCCTCCCTCTGAGCAGATCTCAGTTCTTCACTGATCAAAGACAGCAGTTCCTGGACATATGGGTCTCTTCATAGTGGAGTGGAAGAGAGAGAGGGACAAAGACAGAGAGAGAGACAGAGAGGGGGAGAGAGACAGAGGCAGAGAGAGACAGAGGAGAGAGAGACAGAGAGAAAGAGAGAGAGAGACACACACACACACACAGAGACAGAGACAGAGAGAGAGGGAGAGAGAGAGACACACAGAGAGAGACTGAGAGAGAGAGGGGGAGAGATATAAAGACACAGAGAGAGAGGGAGGGAGAGATAGAGATAGAGACACACAGAGAGAGACAAAGAGAGAGAGGGAGAGAGAGAGAGAGACACAGAGAGAGACAGAGACAGAGAGGGGAGAGACAGAGAGGGAGGGAGAGACAGAGACAGAAGAAGAGAGAGAGATAAAGACACAGAGAGAGACAGAAAGAGACAGAGAGAGGATAGAGACAGAGAGAGAGGGAGGGAGAGAGACAGAGAAGGGGAGAGAGACAGAGAAAGAGAGAGGGAGAGACAGATATAGAGACACAGAGAGAGGGACAGAAGGAGAGAGAGAGAAAGAGAGGGAGGGACAAAGAGAGACACACAGAGAGAGACAGAGAAAGAGAGAGGGAGAGAGACAGAGACACAGAGAGAGACAGAGGGACAGAGAGAGACAGAGACAGAGGGACAGAGACAGAGAGAGAGGAGAGAGATGGAGAGAGAGAGACAGAAGGAGAGAAGAGGAGGGAGGGAGACAGAGAGACAGAAGGAGAGAGACAGGGAGAAGCTGAGAAGGACACCAATATCCTCCCAGCAGCTGCCTTTTCAGGCGACTGACCCACAGTTCACGGGATGTCGGCCGGGGTGCCCTGGTTTGGACACTCTGAACTCATGCAGTTCCAGCTTACGACACACGGGGGCAGCAGAGACACCCAGGCGGGGTGCCTGGTTCTCTCCGCTGCGCCTGGAACAGAACTTTACAGGGAGCCCCCCTCCACCTCAGCCCGGTCACCACAGGGGAGCCACAGACCTGCCGCTTCCCCAGGGCACCCCAAGTCGGGGCACATTAGGAGAGTGGCCTTAGGTGTTCCAAATCCCCTGTCCATCCCACCCCAGGACTCCCTGAACCTGCGCTCTTTCCCCACCCCACCCAGGACTGGGGCTGTCTGGGGTCCAAATGGGGAGGGTCCACGGGGCCCTTGTTCCTTCCGAGGTCAGGAGAGAGAGACAGAGGTGGCGGGGGAGAGGTTGGGGAAGGTACCGCAATCGTGATTAGAAATGAAACAACAGCATCAGTGTATGGACTCTCAAGTCCAGAGGCGACCTTGGGGCAGGTGGGATGTAGTGTCCACTTCACGTGAGCGGCGGCACCACGGCAGGATTTGGAGAAGGTCAAGGGGAAGGTGGAGAGACAATATTGCGAGAGTAGCTGGATGTTTAGGACCCTCAGCATTCCCTTTACAGATATTCACTGGATGCCTATGACTTTCCTGACAAGTCTCAGGCCCGGGGAGACAATGGACTCAGTGGACGGCCAATCTCTGCCCTTCAGGAGCGAACAATCGAGCGTCAGAGTCCATGAATATAATCAAGAAGTACATCAAGGAAGATGTGAGGTCACATTGTTTTGAAGAACAGAATATGGATAAGGGTAGAGGGGTATGTGATAGTTTTCTCTTTCACAGCTTTATTGAGATATAATTCATAGAGCATGCATTCCCCCATTTAAACTATACAATTAAGAAATATACAATTTAGCGGTTTTCAGTATGTTCACAGAGCTGTGCAGCTATCACCACAATCACTTTTAAAACATTTTCATTGCCCCAAAAAAGAAATCCCAAACTTAATGGCAGTCTTCCTACCCCATTTCACCCCTACTCCTTAGCCCCCAGCCCTAAACATCCGCTAATCTATTTTCTGTTTCTATAGCTTTGCTGATTCTGGACATTTTGCATAAATGGAATGGAGAGTATGTGACCGGCTCGTTTCGCTGAGCATAGTTTTCAAGGTTTATCCATGTTGGAGCATAAATCAATACCTCATCCGTTATATAGCCAAATCATATTCCCTCATATATTGGCTATATGTGCAGAAATACCACATTTTGTTTATCCTTTCATCAGTTGATGGGCATTTGGGTTTTTTCCACATTGTTTCCACTTTTTGGCTGTTATGAATAATGCTGCTACGAGCGTTCGTATACAAGTTTTGTATGGACAGGGTTGTAGGGTGTTTTTATTATTTTTGTATTGAGGCATAATTGACTTAGAGCATCATGTTAGTTT